ATAGCATGTCCATACCGCCGGAAGAGCTCAGATGTGCCGCGAGATCACAGTGAAATCCTCATTTAGCCTGTGGGATGGGAAATCTGCCCGAGGACGTAACTGTCCCTTATTCAGGCATGGCTTATAACCGCTCAGTTTGGCAGGCTGCTTCAGTGTTTTCAGCCAGTCCTGCAAAACAGATGGGGAGCTGAATACGGCCTACCAGATGTGCACCGTGATCATCATAATAACAATGACAAAAGAGCTGTCAAGTCACAACCAACTTAGGGTTAGGGCAACCCCTCATACCGTTTTTCAAAGCCAGAGATGAGCAGAGATGGTTTGCCATAGTGAGGGCTCTTTTTGTAGCAGGAACTCCTTTGCATATTAGGCGACACACCCCAAGCTTCTACCCAGAATTAAACTTTGTTGGTCTTAAAGGGGCCACTGGACTGAAGCTATGCAGAGTTGCTGATTGTTAGTACTTGGATGGGAGACCACCCAGACAGCCAAGGGCTGCTCTTTTTGTAGCAGGTGCTCATTTGCATATTAAGCGACACACCCCTCATGTAGCCAATCCTCCAAGAGCTTACAGTAGCCCCTGTAAGCTCTTGGAGGATTGGCTACATGAGGGGTGTGTCGCTTAATATGCAAATGAGCACCTGCTACAAAAAGAGCAGCCCTTGGCTGTCTGGGTGGTCTCCCATCCAAGTACTAACAATCAGCAACTCTGCATAGCTTCAGTCCAGTGGCCCCTTTAAGACCAACAAAGTTTAATTCTGAGTATAAGCGTTCCTGTGCAGGCACGCTTCTGATAACACGTGCATGCATATGAATGCCTATCTCCCCAGGATTAAACTTTGTTGGTCTTAAAGGTGCCGCTGGACTCAAACTTTGTTCTGTTGCTCCAGACCAGCACGGCTACCCCACCTGAATCTGTGTGTCAGTGTTCCCTCTAAGCTGAGTTAGGGTGAGCTGGCTCACAGTTTTTCAGCCTCCGGCTCACAGCTTTTTGCCTTAGCTCAGGAAGGAGGGCTCCAGAGCAAACTAATTTCTGCAGCAGCCAAATCGCCGGCTCACCACTTTAATGCCGGTCGCTCACAAAGTAGGATTTTTGCTCACAGGACTCTGCAGCTTAGAGGGAACCTTGGTGTAGCTTCCAAGCTCTGACAAGACCAGGCAAGGGTAAACTATCCAGGCAGCTGACAACCACCTAATTTTTGCTGGAGAGTCAGAGACACGAGGGTGTGGGCTAAGCATTTGGCATGCCTTGGTCGTTTGGGTGGTGAGTCACAAGCTGTTTTTTTTTTGTTTGGGTCTATTTGCCTTTTGGATAGGGAACGAGGTTTCCCCAAAAGCCGAGACTTGCACGAACACCTAGTCGCCAGGAGTTCTGCCTTCGCAAACCAGAAAAGATGCACACAGGATGGTCACAACAATCGATGCTCCCTCTAAGCTGTGGAGTCCCGTGAGCAAAAAATTCTACTTTGGGAGCTACTGGCATTTAAAGATGTGAGCGAACGATTCGGCTGCTGCATAAATTCGTTTGCTCCGGAGCCCTCCTGCCTGAGTGAAGGCAAGAATGTGAGAGCCGGAGGCTAAAGAACTGTGAGCTGGCTCACACTAACTCGGCTTAGGAGGAACACTGGTCACAATGCTTGGACAGTGATCAGGATGCTGGTGGAGGACAATACATGTGTGAAGGAGGTGAAGCCAGGATCTGGGAGACTAAGTGAACTTCTCCTGTAATTTTCTGAGTGACTAAAAGTAGCCATGAGGAATGTTGATACAGATCTAAGGAGGGCTATGCTAGTCAGCCGGGGGAGTTAATTATCCCCCCCCCCCCGCTTCTGGATCTTCTCCAGGGCAAGGTTGCCAGTTCTGGGATGGGAAATGCCTGGAGATTTGCCGGCGGAGGGTGGAACGTGGGAATGGTGGCAATTTGGAGATGGATCTCAGCAGGGTATGATGCCACAGAGTCCACCCTCCAAAGCAGCCCTTTTCTCCAGGGGAACTGATCTCTGTTGTCTGGAGATGAACTGTAATTTGGGGGGATCCCCAGGTCCCACCTGGAGGCTGGCATCCCTACTCCTGGGTCATATTTCGTTTGGCCCTATAGCCATGACTGGTGGTACCCCCCTGGAACATGGTATTAGGGAGTGGGGAAGGGAAATGACCTCCATATAATTTCTTCTGGTGTGTGCTTTTTGTTGTTCAGTCGCACAGTCGAGTCCGACTCTTCGCGACCCCATGGACCAGATCCCGCCAGGCCTTCTGCTCTTCCGCCGTCCTCTGAAGTTTGCTCAACTTCGTGTTCGTTGCATCGACGACACTGTCTAACCATCTCATCCTTTGCCGTCCCCGTCTTCTTTGACCTTCCATCTTTCCCAGCATCAGGGTCTTCTCCAGTGAGTGCTCCCTTCTCATTGGGTGGCCAAAGTATTTGATCTTCAGTTTCATTATCTGGCCTTCCAGGGAACAGTCAGGGTTGATTTCTTTTAGGATTGACTGATTTGTTCTTCTTGCAGTCCAAGGGACTCTCAAGAGTCTTCTCCAGCACCATAGTTCAAAAGAATCTATTCTTCGGCGCTCGGCCTTCCTTATAGTCGAACTCTCGCAGCCATACATGACTACTGGGAATACCATTGCTTTGACCATGCGGACTTTAGTTGGCAGGGTGATGTCTCTACTTTTTATCATGCTGTTTAGGTTCGCCATCGCTTTCCTCCCAAGGAGCAGGCGTCTTTTAATTTCATGGCTGGTGTCACAGTCTGCAATGATCTGCGATCCCAGGAACGTGAAGTCTGTCACTACTTCCATGACTTCCCCTTCTATTTGCCAAGGAGTGATGGGGCCGGATGCCATGATCTTTTGCGCTCTCCTCTTTTAACCTGAGCAAGAGGCTGTGTGTGTGTGATGTGTGCTACAGGTCCAGAAGTCTGAGTGAAACCCAGAACAAAGCCAATCTGTGGCGGCATGAAGACCTAATGGTCACAATCCCTAACCAGTCCATCAAAACGCATCCCTGATTCTGTATTGTGGCCAATAACAGCCACCACCCGCTGGCAAAATCAACAGGATGCAGTACCCCTTTTCCTTTTTCCGGCATTAAAATCCAAGCTGTTCTCAAAGATGGAAAGTATTTCATAGTCATTTCCTTTTCCTGCAATTATCACCCAGTTTCTCGTTTTTTGGCAGCCGGGGTTAAGCCAGTGGCTTTGGCAATGGAGTCCCATGTTTTATCGCAGTTGTCTTCAGCTAGTGGGGACCGCCATCTTTTCTTTTCTGGTTTAGTTTTCAAATAAAAATGACCCTTATTGTGTAGTGAGTTGACCGTGTGGCTAGGCCCACTCAGCTCCCATAACATGGTGCACGCTTGGCTCTTACACAACGAAGACAAAGACAAACGGCCAGGAGGCCAACTATATACATATCCAGGGGACACCCCTGGATCCCATTGGGAGGTTCGAACTTCCCTCCCCGGTTCTATTGGCTCCCCGTTGGAGAGACCAAGAGACCAGTTCCCATTGTTCACCCAGGGTCAAGCCCTGGGTACTCGCTGGCCCCTGGTGGCGGCCAGCGGACACAACAACCCTTTTTAATGTTCATTAAATGAGCCCATTTGCGGGGAGGGCGGGGTAAAAATGCAATAAATAAATAATAAATAAGTTATTTATTACTTTACTGTTGTGCTTAATGATCCTAAGATAACAACAAGAAGTAAATGAGAATCGCTCAGGACATAAAATCACATAATCGTTACGATAAAACGATAATTGATGGGGACAGTCATAAATAGGGTTGTCAGGTCCCCCTGGCCATGGGTGGGGGATGGGGGAGTAGGGTTTCCAGATCCAGGCTGGGGAACTACTGGGGATGGATCCTGGGGAGGACAGGGACTTCAGTGGGGTACAATGTCTTAGAGTCAGGGGTCATTTCCTGCAGGAGCGCACAGGAGTGGAGCAGTAAAGAGCCCAGGGGGCGGGCACATGCAACAAGCCCCACCCCCTGCTCCCAGCAGCCCTCAGTCAGCGCAAGAAGCAGCCTGGTAAGTTGCAGAGCTTCCCCCGGCCCCCCCGGCCAAAACGGTCCAGTGGCACCTTTAAGACCAGGTTTTATTCAGGTACAAGCTCTCCCTCCTCTGCGAGGACAGATCTGCACGTTCCCCCCCCCCAATAGCTAGCAATCCAAAACAGTCCAGTGGAGCCTGAGCGGTGGGTGTTGCCTTCTGACACACTTCCGATGATGTCAGGGGGTGTGGCATATGCAAATAAGTTATGCTAGTAGGTTATGCTAATGAGCTCCTGCACCTCTTTTTTTACAAAATGACCCCTGATAACCAGTAATATAATGGCACCAGTTCGAAAGATAATTCTATTCTGAAGGATCTGGTAAGAAGATTAACTGGGGGGGGGGGAGAGTAGATCCTTTGATTGTAGAATGGTGTCCAAAATATAAGAAAAAATTAATGATAAAATCAACCTGTTATGTAAGAGCTCTAAGATGTTTCACATGAAATTTCATGTTAAGGAAGGCAGTTACTGTTTATGCTCTTATGCTAACTGTATGTTTGCTTTATTGTTGTTGTTTTTTATGATTATCAAAAGCTTACAACAATGAAGAGAAAATAATTATATAGCTATATAAAATATCATGTTATTCCTGGATTTATTCCAAAAATAATAATCCGTTCCCTGTTTTCCTAAAACTCATAACTCAGCCATGTCTAAATCTATTCTAATTTAAAGACACTTAATGTAGCCCAACATTTTAGA